CACTTCCCAAGCGGCGCACTGTAGCAGTGCGCCACCGGGCCGGCCCCTACATGTACATTATTTTTGAAATAGAATATACAATTCAACCAAAAGGAGAAAATAAAAGCATCTATAATCCTACCACCTAGAAAACTTTAGTTCCTTGGTATATATCCTTCTAGGTATTTTGTTTTTTTCATATGTATAAAATTTTAGTAATATAATATGAGATCATATTGTACCTATACTTTGTAACCTCATTTTTTTCAACATAATAATTGTTTTCCTTGTCAAATATTCAGTTATGACATTATTTTTAGTGGTTACATAGTGCTCTTTTACATGACTCTACAATAATTTATTTAAGCAATTCCCTATGGATGAACATTTATGGTGTTTCCAACTTATGACATAAACAAAACTTCAGTTAGTAGCCTCAATTTTTGCATAGTTCTTAATTATTTTCTAAGATTAATTCCTAGACTGTTACATCAAAGTGGAAGCATATTTTTTTTTCTTTCTTTTGCCAAATGGCCCTTCCAGAAGGGCCTCAAGCAAATTTGTTGGTTGCCTCTTTTTTTTAATTTTTAAATTTGTATTTCTTTTTTTTGGCAGCTGGCTGGTGCAATGATAGAACCCTTTGCCTTGGTGTTATCAGCACCAGGTTCTAACCAATTGAGCTAACTGGCCAGCCCCTCTTGCTTTTTATTTATGACACAATGCATAAACCAGTTATGCGATAGGAGGACCATGGTATTAAGAAAGCCAACTGACACTCATATGATGATTTGAGAAACTGACAGTTTGTAATTGAATATTTCTGTGCCTTCTTTACCTCATCAGAGCATTGGAGTTCAGTGATTTTCCTTTTGGGGGGGACTCTTGTCATTTCAGTGCAGCATCTATTGCTCCAAAGAAGAAGATTCAAACCACTCTGACTAATCTGGTTGTTAAGGGTACAAACTCGGTCATTCAGGAAACACAAAAAAAACTTGGTAACTTTGTCTCTTCATACTAAATTTCTTTCTCTAGCTTAAATATGCGGTCTCTAGGATTGAAAATGGTCTAAGTTATAAATATCTACTCATCACCTATACTTAGTGAGAAATGTTATGTAAGCTAAGGGAATCAAGCCTGGTTGGCAGAACATTAAAAAAAAAACCAGCATATTAATCTTAGCTATGCATACGTATATTCATATACTATATATATGTATATATAC